CCCAACGACGGCAAACAGAGAGTCGTCATGACTGAATTGTACGGCTCAACAACAGCTGTAGAGATTTGTGGAGCGGGATATACTGCGAACTGCAGTTTCGCCTTCTTCTCGAAATCCACCGACAGGTGTTCCATCACCACTAACGAGGTGAATCCTGAACCAGTACCACCTCCAAACGAATGGAATATAAGGAAGCCCTGAATACTTGTGCATCTCTCTGACAGCTTCCGTATCCGATCCGACACCTCGTCCACCAGCTTTTTACCCACCGTGTGGTGGCCACGCGCTGCATCCTCCCTACCAGTAATCATCTGCTCCGGGTGGAATAACTGCTTGTACTTCACATGGCGTAAACCATCAACTACCGTCGGTTCAAGATCCACTAACAATGCGGGTGGAACATAGTGATCAGTATCTGTCTCACTGAAGAATGTACTGAAGGCGTCATTTACACTCCCATTAGTGGAAATAGCCGAGTCAACCAGCACTCGCCCATCTGGTTCAATCCCACGCTCGAGACAATACAACTCCCAACACGAATCGCCCATCTGGACACCTGCTTGACCAACATGAAGACTAATACATTCACGCATGATGCTTGCTGACAACCGCTTTCGACAAGTACAGTCACGACACGTCAAAGAACAAAGAAAACTATAAAACTCAAGTTTCGAAGTCGTGTGATTACAATTGATATGATTATGAACAATAATTTATGTTCGTAAGTTCTTTCAGTTAATAATACTGTCGCACTCACTGTGTGATACATCTAATCAACAAACTAATATGAACTTACTTACTACCACAGTGCCAAGTTTTACACACATATATTACATTGCATATATAAACTACCTAAATGAACAACTATACAGCTTTGAAGTGAAGTCACGAAAAAGATGGAGACCTGTTTGCTGACTTATACGTGCCAGATGAGCCTAGAGAACGTGCTTTTCATTCCTTTTCAACACACTACTTAGTCATGTATCCTTCGGCTTTGTGACCAATAAATAAATTTAATTGCATGGAGGATTTCACCATGAACTGACATCAGTTTGAGAACCACTGGAAAACCACCTGGGAGTACTGGACGGTCGTTTCTTCCTAGTTTGGGACTCTTCATCAGTGCGCACCCACCAATACTTGAAAATAAATTTAAGTATTTGAATATTTCTCATTTTGGCAATGGAGGTGCGCAGCTGAAGCCCTATGTTCCTCTAGGAACTAAAGGATACAATAATAATAATAATTTGAATATTTCTCATTTTGATAATGAATAGTTGTTACCTTGATGGTTGTTTACAGTGGAAAAGCATCGAAGAAAACTATAATATGAATGACGTCATTTTATCTTACTCATCGATGAGTTCATCTTACTTTGGTGTTCACTCTTATCATGGGAAATATACTGCATCATTCATATCAATTCATCTGGAGACAATTACAAACACCCCCGATTCTTAGCTGTACAATCGCAAAAATATATATGTGTTAATTTGTATGTATGTGTACATTAAATTTGTCAAACGAAATTACAGTTGGTTATGGTTATTTTTACTAAACAGGTGAAGATTAGTCGATTGGAATTACGTAATACAAAATTTGAAAGAGGTTACTTCATTCACTTATCATCTAGGGAGCATTGTCTCAATTACAGGAAGTCGGAACGGACGAGGATGTCAAATCGAGCAAGAATCGGGAAGGCGAGAAACACATTCATCAACCAACCTGAAACCAATCTGGAAATCTTTGTCACTCAGCATCAACAACAAAATTCAGTCGGATTTTCAATACAAACAACGTCAAGTCAGTCAGATTTTCTATATGGATCAGAAACTTGACAGGCGGGTCACAAAGAATATTTCCAACAGCCTGTTGGAGACCTTTATCAACAACAACTGTCTTCGCTGGCTCTATACTGAAGATCAGAAGGCCAGGCTGGAAAGAATCTGAATAAAGCGAGAACAACAGTGGTTTGTGCAGAATAACATGGTACCACTGTTGTTCTCGCTTTATTCAAATTGATCAAGGGGAATAAATGCCGGGAAGAATCACTAACAAGAAACTATGGGAACAAACAAACAAAACAAAAACCAATCGCCCAACCAACAAATATGCAGGAGAAAGTGGAGTGAGATGGATTGGACACTCGCTGAGGAGGCTACCGCTGGGTTACATCGTGCGAGCGTCAGGCCATTGCTCGAGTGGAACCCAAAAGGCAAGCGGTGAGTGTGACGTCGTTGCAAGGGTGACATGAAGGATATCGTGTGAAGAGGAATTGAAACACAGTATGGACTAACATGGATGCAGGTGAAAAGTACAGCAGAAGATAGAAGTAAGTGGAGACGTGCAGTTGAAGCCCTATGTTCCACTAGGAACCCAAGGGAACAATAACAATAGTAATACAAAATTGGTCAAGAAAATTAGATGTTAATCAAATTAGGGTAGTAAGAAAGGTAGGTGATGAGTTGTCACAAACAGTTATGTAATAATATGAATAATTTGATGATTGAGTTTTACTCAGGATACACATAGGAACAAGATCGATCCATTGGAAAGCTTCTTGGAGTGGTCAACTAACAAGCTTCTATAGCTGGGTACCCATTCAACAAAAGCGGAATTAAATTAGATCACTTGCCACCCACATCTGTAGTTCCGATGTTCTAGAAACAGAATTAGATATTTTGAGAGAAATCTTCATCCAAAATGGATAACCAATAAGATTCCTTGACAAAAATATCAAATAAAGAATTTGTAGAAATGAAACTTCACTTGCACCTAAAAAGAAACTCTACATGAACTTGGATTTCAAGGGAGATTTAGCAAGCGATATTCTCACGAGAAGGATCACATCATCTCTGAGAACATTCTTTGCAGAAACGTTAAGAATAGTGTTCTCCAGTCGCTCACTGATCGGCAGAAGCCTCAAGGGCAAGATCCCGCATTTGACCACTTCTATATCCATATATCAGTTCACCTGTTGCTGTGGAGCCAGGTAAATCGGTCGTTCGATGATTCAAGAACGCTATCCAGCATGGTTGCGAAAAAGCAATTGTGGTGCCATAATTGTACACCTGGTTAACACTAATCATTCGATTTCAGCAAACGCCTCCTTCAAAGTAATCTACAGAGTCAAGAACAACCTATCAAAGGCAATACGGTTTCGTCTTATTTGTATCGCTGAAACTCTGGCCATTCACATAGAAAAACCGGAGCTGTGCATAAGAAAGAGAATTACTCAACCACTTCTACCATCGTGGTAACAATTTTGTTGATTTTTAATGACTTAATTTTGTTTGTTTGCCTGATCTTTATTTGCTTATAATTCTTGTATTCACTTAGAACTCTTACGTAATTTCGCATTCTCCACCTTGTCCGTATATGCATCCTGAGTAAAACTCAATCATCAAACCATTCATATTTTTACATAACTTCTTTTTAACAACTGCTTGTGACAACCTACCATTGTTACTACCCTAATTTCATTAACACCTAATTTTCTTGACCAATTTTGTATTACATAACTCCAATTACCAATCTTCACCTGTTTAGTAAAAAATAACCATAACTAATTGTAATTTTGTTTGACAAACTTAATGTACACATACATACAAAATAACATATATATATATATATATATATATTTGCGATTATACAGCTAAGAAAATGAATTCGCCGCCGAAAAGAGACTCTTCGCTGAGCTACATGTTTTGTTTTCATTGATGCCTGGATGGGGATTATCCATGAATTAAAATCACAAAGAACACCAGAAGCCCATTTAGCAATCAAATCAACCACTTTCAATGAATGAATGTTTGTCTGTTTTCGACATAGAACCGATGTGCACCGATGTGCCGCAGTTCAAGTCACCACACTCCATGTACCAAAGATGGCAAGAGAAGAAATGCATAAATGAGACAGTAAGCAGAGGTGTGAGACGAAGGAATAGTAATAACGAAGAACAATATAGTTTCATTGGAAATCATAAGTCACAAGGAGTGGATGCATCCGCATCTGCGCAACTGATAACGATTTTGAGCCATGTCACCAATTGTTTCCAACCATTGGTTTTTACCGTCCCGAGGACCCCAACCAGGAAGTCTGCACCTTCCTACGCGACTGGCTGGTTTAAACAAACTGTTGTGGATTCCATTGACTGATGAAGCCATGTTTTGGTTTGACCGCCTCTAGCTCTTTTCCAGCCTGACCCTATGCCAGCTGACATTGCCCGTTGTCGAGTAAGGCGATGGCTAGTCATGCATGTGTAACACATATCCTAACCATCTCAGTCGATGTAACTTCACAGCCTCGTCGAGTGATTTCCTCTCCTTACCTAGAACTCGACCAATATCTACCTTCAATATCGCTCACATTATTATACCACTTCACACGGGAGATAGAACGCAAGCACCTATGATTGAAGACAGCTAGCTAGCCTTTTCATGTCTTCCACTCTCAATGGCCAAATAATCACAATTGTCTATGGAGAATTCTCAAAGCTCAATTTTACATTGAAGTAAGTTAATACACACTAGTGAAGATGTTGTTTGTCTATGAGAAGGACGATGATAACACCTCGACAAGAAAGAAAAAAATCTAACCACAGTTTAGAGGAAGAAAAGAAAAGACAACACAAATCAATAGCTCATTCTATTCAATGTTTTAATATTTTTTTACGTATCACTTTATTCATTCCTATCTATCTCCTGCCTGTCTCTCTATTTCAAAATGTGAAAATGAGCGCCAATACAACAATCCAATGCAACCACAATAACAACCAACAACCAACAGATACAAAACCGGGGTGTAGCAAAAGGAAAAAAATTATAATAAATCCGATAAAAATTTATTCATTGAAGGGGAAGAAACGATGAAACAGACGAACAGATTTTACTCTTTATACTCGCACACCCCCACATACATACATACAAACAGACAGATGGACTGACAGATTGTGGGGTACTCAATCAATATACACACGCCCGCGCACGCAAAGAGACGCCTTAGGATTGAGCAATTTCTTCAATGATCGCTTGTACTTCATGCTTTTGGAATAAGTGATAATTATCCTTAATACTGACTGTTGCCATCTATACAAAAGGAAAAGTGTAAATGACAGAAAATAATAATAATAATAATTTGAAGAAGTAATTAAATAGTTCATTAATATGATGTGTACTTAAATTATTTCAATTCAACTAGTCGTCAATGTCTGGGGTTCATGCTGGTCAATGTAATGACTACATACATACGTACATACACTATCGTTTCATTGGTTACAGGATTTCATCATGAGTTGGCATTGGTTAGAGAACCATTGGAAAACCCGCTGGGAGTATTGCCAAACAGCTATTTCGTCCCACCTAGTTTGGGACTCTTCATCTGTATGCACCCACCAATGAGGTTTGAACCCAGGGCCTCCCGGTTACAAGGCGAGCTCTAAGATCATTAAGTCACTAGGACTCGATGCAATCGACCGCTAGCCAATGTCTTCGGTGGCGAGTATTTGTCCTAACACCCGACCTGCTGCACCCCACTGGACACGACTTCCGACTAGAACCTACTTGAATAGGGTCAGCTGCCGTCCAGTACTTGTAGGTTTCCTTATGGTTCTCCAACGGATATCAACTCATGATGAAATCCTGTAATCAATCAATCAATCAAATCCCTATGAACCAATACTTGACTATCGTTCCAATTGTCCGGAACGTATCAGGAGACGTGAGCCATACTTATTGTGTGTGTGCGCGCATTCCCATGGTCTGATCATAGGTTAAGTAATATCCAAGTGCTCAGGCTTAAAGTAAACGCATTTGTGGTCTCCGACCACCCCACCCCAAGCATTGACAAAAAGTCAAACGTCTAAGCTGACGACCCACACTGTCTACTGAAACAACTTCAACAGGCGAAGATTACAGTTAGGTGTACCTCGCTTTTTAAAAAAACACAATTAGCACAAAGAATAAACTTTATTGTACAATAAACCATCTTTCAATCATTAAATCTCAGGCTCTAACAGTCTTCTTTTATATGTCAGAGTGTCAACAGATAGTATACATTGTACACTCATGGATTATTATTATTATTAATAAAACACAAAATTGGCGTGCATTATGGGCACCAAGATATGCACTAAACAAAATCGCGTAGGTTGTGCGAGGGCTGAGATACTGCACAGACGCTCAGATTGAAACAGTTGTTTTTCTTAAGAGATCACTCCCGCCCCCCCCTACCCGAGCCTTTGACTTGAAGTCTCATCTACTAGATAGTCAAGAGGTGCATCAAAAGCTACGTTCTCATGGTTGCCTGTAGGTAACTAAAACAGATTCACATGTCATTATTTGATCCGTTCGAATGTACGTTCGCATTCACACCCCTGCCAAGTGAAGGCAGACCAGTGAATATGATTAACCTACCTGGAAGAGGCAGTTATGAACGCATGTAGGCCACATGAGAACATTTTGGACAGGAAGACGTACCCACCGTCGACCGTACCAGGTCATTTTTATGGGGGCTATCACTGGATTAATTGCTTTTCCTATTTTCACTGCTCATTTTCCCTTTTGGCACTGTTAGGTGAATCAATATTGACAGGATTATACTGTTTTCAAATATCTTGATTAGACAAACTTGTGAAATAAAACCAAACTAGTATATATTTTTTTTATCAACAGTGCTTTACTGCCTTTATTCTATGAAGTCATGAGCATTGGAAAATAACGTTTGAATACCAATAAAACTACTGAATAAGCTCAGTGTGCCAAAGGTTTTGAGCAATGAATGAATTGGATTAACCCGACGATATTGTGAACCTATGCAACTGCTACTAGACTACATTCGCTTGTTTGCACCACCGCTACTACAGTAACAACGGAAGACAAGGGTCAGGCAACAGACCGTTTATTAAGGAAATCAACACATATTTATAGATTTTCATGTGCATTATTATAGATTATTGTTAGCAGGAAAACAGTTTTCTGACTGGTTGTTTCTCACTGAAAGTTAACCTTGCATCTCTTTGCGGCTGTTTCTTGAATGTCAGATCATCTATATGCTGACTGTATCCGCCTACGCAAAGCCTTTGTTCTTATTTTTCTCACGACCAATATTTTGGACATAAACATTGACGTAAATTACTGTCCATCAATTTTGGCTAACAGCCAGCTCTCACCACACTACTACTACTACTCTGCGTGAAGATCTACGATACTTTCGAGTTGTCCAGGATGAAGCAATAGGTGGCTCAAGACTCGAAATCCAGAACCCATTGATTGTAAGCCAAGTGCCTAAATCAATAAACCATATTTGCATTACAGTTGCTCACCGAATATTAATACATAATTATTACTAGGACATCATTAATGCACCGGTAGACTACTTGTTAACCACGACGCCTTACATGTGGTCCAGAGTTTAATCCCCCGACTAACGTGTACTCCTAAACCTCGTTTAGCCAGTGTTAAGCCCAGTAAAGAGGGAAGGTCGGGTGTAAGACTAGCAACCTCCATCCCAAAAAAGAATGACACCGCTGATACTGAAACTCTCAAGTCCAAAGTGTGGAGCTGTATGTCCCAATCGGTACGCAAAGACATGCAATACCAAAAAAGACTGTTAATAGATTGAGAGTCAACAATGCATGCATATATATAATAAGCACACTTACCTCTACATTTGTTGAATCAAGCTTCTCTTCCATAACTTGTTTTAAAATTGATAAAGCATGCTTACAACCTTCATGTAATGTCATATTCTATATAAATGTAAGATAGATAAAAACACATGTCACGAGTGATTCTGATTATCTGAGTGGATTATTAAAACTCTTAGAAAAGCATTAAAAGAAATTTTTTTGATTATACCTTGAAACCACACAGCATTTTTGGTATGGAATTTTCAGCATATGATATCAGTAGCCCAAATTTTGCAGGTTGACCATTGATATCACAGGTGTGCGTTGGCAGGGGATCGAACGCATGGTCGGCGAGAGAGTCCTAACCGCTGTGCTACATGTATTCCCCTTTATGAATTTGAATAATAATTCATAGAATGGATAGAACTTGAAAAAGGGTGTGCGATTTTAGGATTAGTAGACAAATCGAATAAAATAAAAACGTTACGTAATATTGTGAGAAATTTGATAGCATAGAATTTAACGTTGTAAAATAGAAGAATTGATTTAGAATGACAAGTGGAACAAGTGAAATAATACCGGGGACAGTTCAAAGTGAGAATAGTAATAGTAACAATTGACGCAATAAGGAAGAGTATACAAATTGAATACACAAAATGGATGAAAAAATGAAAAATTGGTACAGCTAAAATATAATACGTACTCGACTCATCTGTATTGCTGAAGCCATCTTTGGCTATCGAAACAGAAAAGCCAGATCTCTGTGTACAGAAAAAGTTCGTTCAACCCCTCCAAATTTCATGGTCTTAATACCTCTATGAAAAAGTGTGGGAATCCCTCATCATATTTTGGCTCTACCGATTTCTTCATTTTGTCTATTCAATTTGTATACTCTTCCTTATTACGTCAATTGTTACTATTACTACTCTCACTTTGAACTGTCCCCGGTATTATTTCACTTGTTCCACTTGTCATTCTAAATCAATTCTCCTATTTTACAACGCTGAATTCTATGCTATCAAATTTCACACAATATTACGTAACGTTTTTATTTTATTCGATTTGTCTACTAATCCTAGAATTTGAATATGGCAAGAAGAACAACAGTGGTTTGTGCAGAATAAAATAATACTATCTTCTGTTTATTTCATTGGCTTCTCATTAAAGCTGTTTACAGCCCAAAGAAATGATTCAGTTCATGTACAGAAACAGTTTTAACACAGAGTTCAACTTTTAAACAAAAATACACTAATAATAATTAACAGCGAAGACAGCTGTTAATGAAGGTCTGAAGTTTGTTTGAGATGATCTTTATGACGCGCTGGCCAAGTCTCTGATCCGTATAGTAGCACTGACTTCACATTGGAGTTGAAAATCCGGATCTTATTTTCATTTTCATGCTGAGTGCTGTTGACCTCCACACAGATTTGAGAGTAATGAAAGCTTGTCTTGCTTTTCCGATTCTGGCTTTGATATCCTCGTCAGTTCCGCCTGTAGTTGAAACGATGCTTCCCAGGTAGGTGAAGGAGGCTGTTTCTTTCAGGTTCCTCCCATTTATGCTGGCTGATTGTTGTCTGTTGTTGCTCTTGATGTTGGCCCATGCAGTAATAATCATACAGAATGGAATTTCTGGTGTAGCTTGATCAAATGAAAGAGAGAATGGAAATACTCCATTACCCCAGATCCAAGAAAGACTGATAATCAACAGGCTCCAGGCGCTTCATGAAGATTGCCTCGACAAAGTCGAGGAAAATTGAACTCTTTTGTCTGCTGATAATTTCCAAGGATCTAGAGACGTCCACCTCCTCATGACCTGTATTGATGAAATGTCTAGCGATGGTATTGTTGAAAGCCAACGTCTCAAGGGAACAGCATTTGTTCAACAGTTGTGTGGCTCAACGATCAAGAATCAAGAAAGAGAAAAAGATAATAATCTACGGAAATTCGTCTGAGAATAATAAATATGCGGCGAGGCGAGGCGAGTCAATAAGTACAGAGGCAGAATACTCGTCGGGACTCAATCCCCTACCGACTCAGCCGGTAAAGAGTGAAGTTTGGATGTGGGACTAGCAATCCTAGTCCGTAAAAAAAAGATCACGCTTGAAAGACAATAAGTTCCACTCGGAATGCACGAAGGGGAAAACATAAATAAATAAATAATAACATCATAATACTGCAATGCAAATATTTAAAATCACATTTTTTTTAAATTCGAAAACTTGATTCATTAATACGTTACCTTATGATATATTTCTTGTAAGGCTTGTTGTGCACCTTCAGAGCCTGAACCAATTGCTTTTGCTTCATATCGTATATATGTACCACTTGGATCCATATGATACAATTGTGGTCCTCGTTCGTCGACACCGGCGAACAATAAGGCTACACCAAATGGTCGACTCTGTTGTCCCGATGATGATTGATTGTTAGTGTTGCAAATACAAAAATGAAAGAGATTGTGGTATAGAGTTTAGAGAAAGAACTATCATAGAAATAATAATAAGTTGAATACCATTCGACAATACGATGAACTTTTCCATCAAAACTGTCTATCTGGATCCAACATAGAACTTGGCACCCAAGTGCAGCAGTTCGACTTGCCACGTTCCAAATAGCACACACAAAGGTAGACAAGAAGATGAGTTAAGAGAATCAATAGAGTTTGACAAGTATAAGAGTGAAACAGAATGGATAATGGTAGAAAGGAATATAAAAGATTACAGAGACTGAATACATGTGCGCTGGCCATTGGCAACGATTTTGAGCCATGTCACCTATTGTCTCCAGACATTGATTCTTAGAATCAGTCCCGAGGGCCCCAACCCGGAAGTCTGCATCTCCCTCCCTACCTGACTCAGTTTAACTGTCAAGGATTTCATGGATTGATGAGGCCGTGTTTTTGTTTGGCCACCACTTACTCTTTTCCAACCTGCACCTTTATCAGCTAGTAATGCCCGTCAGGGGAGGCGGTGGTTAGGCATGCGCAGCACCTGACCTAGCTATCTCATCAATCCATGTAACTTTATAGCCTCGTCGATTGATTTTCCCTCTTTGCCCAACACTCTACACCAGGGTAAGCAATGCTGAAATTAGGCTTCGGTCGAGCTTTGGGTAAGGAGGGGAAATCATCCAACAAGGTTGTGAAGCGACATCGACTGAAATGGTTAGGACATGCCATCGCCTTTCTCGACAACGAGCAATGTTAGCTGATATAGGGTCAGGCTGGAAAAGAGCTAGCGGCGGTCAGCCCAAAACATGGCACCAGTCAATGAAATCCACAACAGTTAGTTTAAGCAAACCAGTCACGTAGGAAGGTGTAGATTTCCTAACTGGTTGGAGTCCTCGGAACAGTAAACACCAATGAAGGCTAGATGCAATGGTGATATGACTCAAAATCGTTCTCGATGGCTGGTGCAGATGTATCCGCTCCTTGTGACTTATAATTTCCAATGAAACTATGTTGTTCTTCGTTATTACTATTCTTTTTGTCGTATATCCCTGTTTACTGTCTCTATTATGCATTTATTCCACTTTTTTCTCTTGATTTGTGTGCTACATGGAGGGTGTGTGGACTTGAACTGCTGCACATCTGTGCAAAGTTCTATGTTGAAAACAGACAGATAGGCAAACCTCTACATTGTTGTACAGTTATCATAACAACTAATATAGACGGTAGACATACTTCCCGGTAAAAGACTTACGTCAAATTATTTTGTACACAACTATTACTTGTGCCATTTTGTACTGACACAGGGACTCAATGCTGCTAATTGGAGTCAGGATAAGAAGAAATCTAAATACGTTTGGCCTAAAGTACTACACCAATACAGACTACCTACAATTGTGTAGATAAACTTTGGTTCATCAAATGATTTAAAATAATGACTGCCTACTAAATATTATGGAGCAGTTGTGTTTATATATTATTCTCTTCTTCATTGTACTATCACGTGTTGTGACTACAGAATCAATACAGGTTCCCACCACTTAGTACTCAAGTCATCAGCAGATATAGAACTACGGGGTACAATGCTTAGGGGAATCACTGAACATGGATAGACTACAAATGCGATAATGATGAAAACTCAAGTTCGCCTAGTTTTCCTGTCGGTCCCAAACCCAGGAGAAGAGGGATGGCTGTGCGCAGGGCTAGCGACTCCACCCCGGAAAACCAATCCAACTGCTGCAAAAACATCAGCGCACAAAAACATTAGAAATATAGAAACACAAACTTATTGTTCGCTGGAATCAGAGTGAAAAAATGGTACCGGATGGTGAAAGCCTTTGGGAAGCCAATCAACCGATGTGTTTTCTTCCGATGGAAGCAAAAATGAGAATGGGGAAGTGGAATGTTCGCACAATGCACGAAGATGGGAAGGCTCCCCGGGTTGCCAAAAAAACGAGAAGATATGGCATACAAGTGCTAGGAATCTGTGAAAGCAGATGGAATCGATGTGGACTACCGAAATCGTTAACTGGAGAGTCAATAATCTATTCCAAACTAGTCACCCAGACGACAACCACACAAGGACACTGAAGCAGTGAGTGACTATCAGTATGTCATCAACAGAAGCCAAAGATATTATGCGCTGGGAACCAATCTCCTCCAGAATTATGACAGCAAGATTCAACTTAAAAGGAAGGACGGTGACAATTATCCTATGCTACGCACCTACGAACAACTCAGAACAAGGGAAGAAGGAAGACTTCTACGGACAACTGCAAACAGTAGTAGACAACACCTCAAATGGTCACATCAAAATCCTTAAAATAAGTGATTTGAATTCAAGTACTCCACAGTTATACAGATTTTTTTATTAAATTGTAGTCGCGAAGAAGTAAAAAGGAAATCACCTGCATATTAGATTCTATAGTACCGTCAGAGACAAATGAATAAACCAAAGAACAACACACAGTATAAACTGAACATTAATTTTTCTGAGTAACGAAATATAAATAAAAGCAAAATAACAGTGATAACCACTAACCATTGCTCCTGACTCCATATCATCATCTCCAAAGGCCAGTGCTAAATTGCTAACTGCCTTAGTCACATCTTCAATTGTCATTTTCTCGTTGTACACAAACCAATGATGAGCTGCTTCTGTACGTGCACGTTCAATGAGAGTTCTAGCATCCGCCACTAATCCACTTACAGCACACGCTTAATGATATAGAGAAGAAGACAATAGTAAGTTTAAATTAAAACTGAAATTCAAACAGAATTAATAATTTGATCACGACATTAATAATAGAAAATTACGAGAAAATCAAGTCAAGGGAAACAACTGTATTATGTAGTAGTTTATGTCCTATGGATACCAAACAAACCCAACAGGTTACTTCTAAGATTTTAAATACAATCCTAAGCATAAATCGTCATTAGATCTGAGAATCTAAATCTAAGGCTCTTAGCTGTGAACAGTGGAGAATGTGATAAAACTCTAATTTCACCCTTAGTGGTTGAGACGTTCACCTAAACTATTAGACGGAGAGAGTTATATACCACAAATTATGAAAACATGGGTGCTTGGGATAGGAGATGATTATGTCAACACCTGGAGCCTGTTGAAAGAAACTTTTTGCGAACTCTGGGCAAAGTAGAGAAAAATTAGGCATGATAAGTTCACACTATTAACAGCCAGAATACTTTGAGACTCTTTTATAATTTGTGAAACAGCTTTTTGCCAGTTTACTATATTACCCTAGCCATTTGTTATGCACAACTGAAGTTGCTCAGTTTTAAAACAGGGAATCAAAGCTCTAGAAGTATTAAACTTCGTGAGTATCTAATCTCTGAAAATTGGAATTATAATGATTGACTTCAGAATGGAGGTGATCGACAATTCGTAGATGAGATTTGTGAATCCTCAGTGCCAGGTTGTCGCCCGAAAAACCTATATCAAATTAGAATATAATTTAAGGCCATCAACAAGCCTGCATTTCTAAGGCAGTCTAGATGTGAGTACATGACACTAGTATTTCGTACTTCTATGCACGTCCCATTAGTGAAGCACATTTAATCAAGAATTCTTAGAGGCAACTCGCGGAAGGTAGCAATAAGACTGACATTGTATGACGACCTAACATATCTTAGTAACTGTTCAATTCGCCATGTCATGCAAAATATAGATGTAAAACGGATATAAATGGGAACTAATTTTACCACAGCAAATAAACAAGTGGACAGAATGAGGTGAAAACATATGGAGAGAGCAAACAGGCACTAAATACTTTCCTTACATGACTAAGTGCAATGTAATGCTCCACATACAGAGAAACACGGAAGACGTTAAAAAAACTGTCAGTTTTGTAGTGTATTAAATTTGTACATATCTTCATACAAGGCTACAAGACACACTCAGCAATGATTTAGAAATTAGGACACAAATAAGACATTATTGGATCTAATAAGATTTTAATTTCCCTCGTAATTACATCGTCCACAGCAAAGCATAATGTCTTACCAATGTGTTTATCCACCTCGAAAATTTTCTCGATACTTGACGGAATTATTAGAGTTGAATTAACTCGTTTCTCCACTGCCATAACGACACCTTCAGCTGTCTTGATGCCGATTCCAGTTGAACCTAACTGTTTATAAAGTTAGTGGTAGGACAAGAATACAACCTTTGTAGCTTCGATAGCATATTCAACCTGAAAAAGACGTCCTTCTGGTGAAAACGTATTGACACCACGATCATATTCAGTCCTAGTGAGGAACATTGCACGCGAAGGTGACAAAGATATATATGAACTTCCGCGGGCAAACTTTGCCGCTTCAAGGTCACACAGAAATATCCTAAATGTTTTGAGAAAGTGATTTGAATTCAAAGCTAAACATCCCTCACATTACTAATATTTAGGTGTCTTCTAAGATATTTTCATGTGAATGCTGGTTACCTGGTACTCCGGTCCCCATAAATTGTGTAGCAGGGACAACATCAGTCTAACTTCATATTTGCAGGAAGTAGCGAGCTCCTAAAACTCTTTCAGCGCGTTTGTTTGGAATTCACTGAGTCTCAGGACAAATATAAGTTACGATTAAGTGTTTTTACCTTAGGCGTGCTGCCACCTTAGAATCAGTATTCTGGGGTAGTTACTACGTGTAGGGTGTGAACTATGTTTGACTGAAAACCCCACTGGGATGTTGCAAGCTATTTGATTTGGATAGGAGACATAGAATGACGAACAACTTAATAATTTAGGGGTCAGCATTTTAGTGCATTTCTAATGTCTTCGATTCTAGAATGTATACGAAAAACATATTCTAGAATCGAAGACATCAGAAATGTACTGAACTGCTGATCCCTAAATTATTCAGTTATTCGTCATTCTATGTCTCCTGATCAAGTTGGATACAGACGGCATGTTATATATGTATAAGTGTACAAAGTGGTTGATTAATATTTTATATCCCATGGCCTAAGAAATCGGAGCTTCTCCTCCATATCTGCCCAATCCAAATCTGAAAATCTCACTTATGCGGTTATTTCTCGTACCTCTATAATCGTTACTGATCTGATGAAATGCCTGTCCTTCTTAGAGTTTTCAGGACTTCAGTGCACACTAATACCTATTTCTTGGATCGGGTTCCTCAATAAAACTGCTCGGATTATTATTATTCCCTTGGGTTCCTAGTGGAACATAGGGCTTCAACTTCACGTCTCCACTTGCTTCTGTCTTGCTTCTCCTGTACTTTTCACCTGCATCCATGTTAGTCCATACTGTTTTAACTCGTCTTCACACGACGTCCTCCACGTCACCCTTGGACATGTCCCACTTGCCTCTTCCTTTCCGGGTCCCACTCGAGCGATAGCCTGACGCCCACGCGATGTCGTCCAGTGGCCCGGCCTCCCCAGCGAGTGTCCAGTCTATCCCCATCCACTTTCTCCTGCATATTTGTTGGTTGGCGATTCGTTCTTGTTTTATTTGTTCCCATAGTTTCTTGTAGGTGATTCTTTCCGGCCCGGCCATTTGATCTTCACTATAGAGCCAGAGAAGACAGCTGTTAATAAAGGTCTGCAACAGGCTGTTGGAAATATTCTTTCGGATCCGCCCGCCAAGTTTCTGATCTGATCCGTATAGAAGAACCGACTGACTTGACGCTGTTTGTATTGAAAATCTCAGCCGAATTTTGTTGTTGATGCTGATTTGAGTGACGAAGATTTCTAGATTGGTTTCAGTCTATGTGATGAGTGTGTTTCTCGCTCACCTTACCGATTCTCGCTCGATTTGACATCCTCGTCCGTTCCGACTTCCTGTAGTTGAGACAATGCTCCCTAGATCGGTGAGTGAATGAAGTAACCTCTTTCAACTCCCTCCCGTTAATGATGATCGGCGCTGTATGTCGCTGGTGTTGTCGTTGGCTGGTTGGTTATTTTCATAACCTCCGTCTTGTCTATGCTCATCTGGAGTCCTGTCTTCGCCGGCTACTTCTCCGACCACTTTGTCGGTTTTCGCTTGTAAGTCTTCGATTTTGTGTGACATCAAACATAAATCATCCATGTGCGAAATCAAGGTCTTCTAGGTTCTTCACGTTGGTCGGTCCAGGATATTCCTGTCCCGTTTCTCGTTTCCCACTGTCGGACGCTAAATCCAGCCCACCACAATTGTGAATATCATTGGCGATAATAAGCAGGCAGCCTTGTCTAACTCCTTTGTTTACTCCAAACGCCCCGCTGAGATTTCCGTTGTGGATCACTTGACATGTGCCGTTGTCGTACAGCTAGCTATTAAATAAGGTTGATGCATATTTGGGGTACGCCGTAGTGCTTGAGTAATTTCTAAATTACTTCGCGATCAACGCTGTCAAAGGCCTTCTCAAAGTCTATGAAGTTGAGGTAGAGATTTGATTGCCATTCCATGCTTTGTTCGAGTGTGAGGATATAGGCTATAACCATGTGTTCCCGCGCAATTTGTGGGTTACCGCGCCCACGGCTACAGGCGTTATAATCGCCTATTCTTTGGAAATAGATTAAATTTGACTAGTTTTAGACTTCTGTAGCCAGAATTGTATATTATAGCTCGGACGAATTACTAATAAAAAAGTCATCCTTTTTTAAGAAAGTTCGCATAAAGACTTTTGTTTTCATTATAGTGCGTTGAGGGTTTGTTTTTTGCGAGTTGTTTCAGATCTTAAGGTTGTAAATAGACTACAGACAATGGTTGTTGTCATTCCAGTGAATCTATGAGAATCGGGTATGTGAAAGAGAAATAGCCTGCAGACATAGGTAAGATGTGTGTTTTGAGGATGTTAAACACTTCAGTTATCATCGGTGATGACTGGAATATTCCATAACACATCGACGACATCATGCGATGAATGAGACAGGCTGCTGAATTTCCTGGTGGTTATATCTATTTTGATGAAGTTCCTGGTTAAAACTGCTTAGGTGAAGATGTGATAATAGTTTAATTTACATTCGCACATGGAATTTCAGAAGGCCTTAATTGCTCAGTGCATAAAATGGCATCAGACTATATTGACATCAGTGTTCATCGCGTCCCAAAGAATAGTATAAATAGTCCTTCTCAAATGTCAGAGTACTTAAAATGAGTATCATCTTTTTGTCGATTAGTAGCTAGCAGCTGTGCCAAACCATCCATGGTACCCTACAGGCCCTAAAGAAATTCGTGAGAGATCTTACATGTCAGGTTGTCTTACGAATTGTAAGCTTGCAGATCTTTCACTTTACATGTCACTAAAATATCACTTATCTACTTCACGATGGTCTTTTTATCTGTGAACTATTACACTGCATTTTATCTTAACTGGATATGCCTTTCTTAAAGCTGAGACTTACTCTTCGTGCCTATTAGTTACTTGCTTACAGTCTGGTTGCTTTTATTAAAAACACAACAGCACCAGTGTTTGAACAAAACTGTATTTTCGTGGAAAATGTCATATTTTCCATGCTTACACCGATATAGTTGGCATTAAACATTGCAAATGTATACTAACATTCCAAGGACATAGCACTTAGCCAAATGCACAGTGTTCATTGTGAAGGGTTTACAATTTAACTCTTATCATAACCTGTTCTAATTACTCGTACAATAGTTGAACGACTAAAACTTTTGAAGAAGTACTAATTTATGATGCTTCACGATTGCAGTTTAGAGCATAACTTATTGTGCCTGTAGAAATGACATGCATTCTTTGTAAACATTCGTTTATACGACATATGAAATTATTATTTGCTTGCTGCTATCCTTTAGAAGATGAACAATATGCGTGACAGTGAAAACCACAGAAGAATGCTGTCATGAACGATTGATTTCAACGATTACTTCATCTGCATAAACATTGGCAAACACTTTTCCAAATTTGTCACTAATTCTCGTAGGGCCCGCACTGAAACTCTTTTTGGTTTGGAATGTGTCACGTTGACTTTGAGGGACAACTGTTGACGTGCTTTGAGATGCGAACAAGTCGCGTGACCACGTCCAATGTTTACAATTCTGCATCACATGGTTAACTAAAAAAGGTGGAACAAAAAACGTAAAGATAATTATGAACAGAATATTACAGATGTAATGATGGTAGTGCTTGTGTCCTGTTTCCAGTTAAGGCATTGTACACACGAATACGGTAATGAAAATTACAACTTTCCGTAAAGAAGATTAATAGGTAATTAAGGCTCGGTCGACATACACTGAAAACAGAGTCATAAAAACGCAAATGTACCTGTAAAATATGGCTTTCTGAAATGGACCAAGAGCAAGTGTCGGCAGGGGTACCGACAAGTCTGAAACGTCATACACGTGCATGTACAAGCACGGAGATCAACCTCTACTCTATTCCCATTTTCTTGGAAGAATACATAATCGAAGGCTTCAACCTCAACAGAAGCCCATCGTCGCCTTTCGTATTCACGGATTACCTTCCTTGTGGCGTATGGCGTCAGTAGTCGTAGGATTGGGATTAGACGTCGTGAACAGGAATAGGTGAAGCATCGTGACTGAGCAATCATCGCCTCCTGCTGTATTCTTGAAAAACTTTGTTGACACCATTTATACACCTTCGGCATGCTTTTATGCAGACTATCTGATCTTTGCAATTGCCGCTTCATTTGCTTGTGGGAACTTTCGGCGCGATTATTTGTATCATTCCCAAAAGTCAGCACGTGGTCTCTGAAACATGCTGCCCACAATTCTCGTCGATGCATCCAACGACGTTGTAGATATTGACTGACACTAGCATCCAATCTACTAATAACTCTGAAATAGAAATTAAATCTGGAAAATGAGAATATTAAAGGCATTACTCTGATCTCCTTTTACACTGCACTAAGCGGTATAAGTAGTTCTTCACAATGGGATTCCTTGTCTACGAATAAAATGTAAAGTATGTTGTGAAAAACTTACTTTACGACAGAATGCTCGACAAACATGGAAAGATCACAGAACAATGTGCGCTTCTCTGTGCGTTAACTTGACTGCTGCTATTTCAGCTTGCGCACAGTCCATAATGAAAGTCTCCGTTCTAGAAGTATCTTCCATTATTCGACGAAATGAGTCCAATATTCAAACTACATCACGTTTGAATTCCTTTCTAGTCCAAGCAAATGAAACTGGTCGTCCACGACCAAAATTATCCGTCACAAGTAATTGGAACAAAGAATACCTGCAAGTTGATTAATGATTTGGTAAACTTACTTCCCTTTATTTTTATTATATGTGGAATCGATACCAACAACCTCAGGGGGCTGTTTATACAATTC